GAGTCATCCTTGAAAAGATTGGTGGGAGGGGGTAAAGGAGGTTTTGTGGGTGAGGGACTTGGACTTCCAGCAAGCTTGCGTGAGTGTGTTAGATAGGAGTGAATGGAGACGAATGGTTTTTGGGACCTGATGAGCTGTTGGAGTGTGAGCAGGGTAATATCTTATGAAGGGATTCAGGGAAACCAGTTAGCCAGACTTGAGTCCTGGAAATGGGAGGTACAGTGCCTGTACTTTAAAGGAGGGGTTTGGGATATTGGCAGTTTGGAGGGACTTCTAAACTGTCGTATCTGAGCGCCTCTGTAAAGACAGTGATTATGTATGAGTAAGGTGAAAGTGTCGAATGATGATGATGAAAGTATTTTCTTTTTGGGGATTTTCTTTCTTTTTAGGTCACCCTGCATCAGTGGGAAATGACTGATGTGTTGAAGAAACAATATATGCACATCAAAACAATTGCGAACGCTACAGTACAGTATTATTATACAGTGGTCCCCCGCTTTTCGAAGTTCCCGGCAATCGTAAAATTCGCCAATCATAGGGGTATTTTCGTATAAACATGGACTCGCTTTTCATACGTTGACTCGCGAGTCGTAGTTCGTCCGGGACGCGTACCCACGGCGTGAGCCGGGGCGGCAGCCAGTCTGGCATTGTTTACCAGTGAGCGAAGGTCCCCTCACGTGCTCCAGCGAAATATTTCATAATATTCCATTTATTTTAATGCTTGCAAGTACTAAATAAGCTACTATGGCTCCAAAGAAAGCTCCTAGTGCCAAGCCTGTGGTAAAGAAGGTGAGAAATTATAATTAAATTTTAAGAAAACCATCATTGAACAATATAAAAAGGGGTACAAGTGGGGCCGAACGTCCAGGATGTATAAAAAAACCCTACAAAAACCTTATTTTCCATAGTGGCCAAAAAAAAGGAAAAATAAAGGATGCTGTTTTTTAAAGGGGAGAAAACTATGTAAACAAAAATGAGATCACCAGTATGGAAGGGGTTGAGAAGTTATTATTGGGGGGGGGAAAAAATAGAAAAAAATTAAAGAAAGGAGATACTTTATAATTTCCCTTTTATTTGTGAAAAGGCTGGGCCCAGTTGCATGAAGATTTGGTAAAAAAATTTGGGCCTGAAAATTTTGGTGAAGTGAGGAATTTAACCCCCCCCCAAACCAAAGGTTGGTTTGGAGTTTTTAAAAACCTAGGGCAATAGTGGTAAGGATGGTGAGGCTGCCATTTTGGGGGACCACAAGGCGGCTAAAAATATGTGATGAGTTTTCCCGGGGTACAAAGGGCCCGAAGGACTGAAAAATGAACAAGTGTTCAATTGTGACGAAAACAGGCCTCTTTTTGGGAAAAAAATGCCAAAAAAGGACCTTCATTACAAAAAAGGGAAAAAGGGAATGCCAGGACACAAGCCATTCCCGGTGGGCACTAATGATCTGTGCTAAAGCTAGTGGGATTCAAAATGAAGGGCCCTTCCAAATGTTCCATTCTGAAAATCCCGAGTGTTTGGAAAAAAATTTTTAGAAAAGTAAAATTTTGGTTTTTTTGGGAAAACTAATAAATAAGGCATGGGTCACGAGGGAAATTTTCGTCGAGTGGTTCAATGAAGTGTTTTGGCCAAAAGGGGAAGGGTATCTCCCGGAAAAAAATTGGATCTCAAGTGCCCGCTAATAATGGACAATGCCCCCCCGTCATCCCCCAAAATTGGGTGACCAAAATTTTTTGGAGTTTGGGTTCATCACAGTAAAAATTCTTGGCCCCCCAATTTACCACTCCCCTTCCCCCGCCCATGGCCAGCAGGTTTTTGCAAAACTTTAAAAAAAATCTACGAAAAGCAATGTTTCAAGGTGCTTGACCGTGCCACGGGCACTCACTTACCCTAAGGGAAAATTTTTGGGGAGAAAACTTCGCACCTCCACTGCATAACCCTTATAGGGATGGGTTGGGGGGGAGTGACTCCCAAGACTTTGAACTTTGCCTGGGGAAAATTGTGGCCAGATTGTGTTGACAAGAGGGATTTTGAAGGATTTGGGACTGACCCTAATGAGCCTATGTCTGTTGTAAAATCAATTGTGGCACTGGGGAGTTCCATGGGGTTGGATGTGAGTTTGGAGGATGTGGAAGAATTGGTGGAAGACCACAATGAAGAGCTCAACACTGAGGAGCTGCAAGAGCTTCAGCAGGAAGAGCAACACTTTGCAGCTCAGAATCTTGCTGCAGAGGAGGAGGAAGAGAGATGGAAGAAGGTGCCTTCTTCAGAAATTAAAGAGATTTTTACTATGTGGGGTAAGATGGAAAGCTTTATGGAGAAACATAACCCTAACAAGGTTGTTGCAAGCCATATTGGCAACATGTACAGTGACAAAGTCTTGGGCCATTTTAGGGAAGTGTTAAAGAGATGCCAGAAACAGAGCTCTCTCCACAGTTATTTTGTGAGACAGGACTCCAGTGACTCTCAAGGTGGTCCTAGTGGCATTAAGAAACAGAGAAGAGAAGCAACCCCAGAAAAGCAGATGGTACCTGAGGTGTTGATGGAAGAGGATTCCCCTTCCAAACTATAAACAATCCACTCTCTCTCCTCCTCCAGTCTCCCATACACTAAGAAGAATCTCAAATAAAGGTAAGTGTTATGCTGTTAATGTTTCATTCATCATTTCCCATTGTATTGTTTATGTACTACATGTATATTTCATGTTAAAATTTTTTTTGTTTTAATACTTCTGGGTGTCAGGAACGGATTAATTGTATTTACATTATTTCTTATGGGGAAAATTGATTCGTAAATCGTAAATTTCGTTTATAGTAACGGCTCCAGGAACGGATTAATTACGAAAAACGAGGGACCACTGTATTTCCCTTCATCATATTTGTGCACCAAACATTCGCTGATTTTCAAGATTCACGAGGTTCTTGATCCCCTAACCTTTGCGAATGTGGAGGGCCTCCTGTAGTACCATATATTCAGAACCACCATATTTTAGTTTTTTTTATGTCAATAATGTTTATAATATACTGTAAGAAAGGAAACTGATAAGTCTCATTGCAATGAAATTGACTTGGATTCATCGCAACCCTTCATCTTAACAGCAACAAAGTGGTGATGAATTGCCTGAGTATTTTTTTTTTACTTGATAATTTTTTCACATTTTTTTTGGGTGGTTTGCACTCATAAAATGGGAATAGGGGTATTACTCTTGGCATACTCATTTAATTTTTAAAAAGCTTGCCTTATGGCTAGTAATGTATGGTAATTCGGCCAGTTTTAGGGCAGGAAATAAACTAATTATTCATTGCCAGCATGAAAGGGATTCTTCTTAAAACAGATGAGACCAATAAATTAGAATATTGATTTTATATTAGGTCAGTATTGTAATTTTTTGTTTTCATATTCAGTAATATAGTAGTCTGATAGATCCTCCTACCCTGGGAGGTGCTACTGTTTTGTCACATGAGTGTGGAATGGAAGTTTTTTAACAGGTTTGCACTCTGGCAAGATTATTGGTCTTTTTCTTTCTGTCTAATGAACATTAGAGATGGTAGATAATCTTAACCCTTTGACTGTCGAAGGGCCCAATCCTGAAGTTGCTCCTGGTGTCGCAAAATATTCGAAAAAAAAAAATTATTTTTTCTTATGAAATGATAGAGAATCTTTTCCCGATTGTAAAGACACCAAAAAAACGAAATTTGATGGAAAACTGACGGAATTACGCTCTCGCGAAGTTAGCGACTTCGGCGATATTTAAAAATCGGCAATTTCGCCCACTTTGAGCCCTATTTTCGGCTAATTCCGTTATTCCAGTCAACCAAACTCATAACTATTTCTTCAGAACTCTATTTTTTCTATCGATTGAGCACAAGAAACTGCCCATTTACCGATTTCAACTACCCAATAACATGGTCAGAAATTTGCAATTTGGCCAATTTCACGAAAATTAAAAAATACGACAATTTCAAAATAAGGTCCAGAATGAACAATGCAGACATTCCTGGCTCTAAAATAAGATTTTCTTTGTTCATCAGTCATGTCTCCAGGTCCCTGTGATATTACTCTTGCTTTTTATTTTGAAATTTTATTCAAACAAAAAATAGAAGATTTACTGTTATGCAGACTACTGCAATACTGTAATAATTGTAAAAATTACATCAACCCATTCATGACTGCGTATTAGAATGGCTATTTGGACATTTATTGGAAAATGACATCATTTGTTTACTT